CTGCCTAATAAATTCTCTCAAGTTATAGTGTAAATCAAACAATGATTGAAGTTTTTATTTTTACCCTTTGTACTAATATAGATCAATCTATATGTCTGATGATTAACTCATTTACCACTCAAGTGTTCCTTGTCCTGTAAACTGAGATCACTGTGTCTGAAAGGTTAGCCTGAATGTGAGAGGATATGTGGTCATTTTCTAGCAGGGAAGACCCACTTATGGGATCATTTCCAGTAGGGAGGACCCATTTTCGATCTCATTTTCCCCTTTAGAAGCTCACTACACTCCTGTTGAAGGCTCTATAGTTTGATCACTGACTCTGTCCAACCCTGCCATGTTCCTCAGCAGCACCTGGCATTCGCAGATGTAATTGTTCACTGATGTCCTTGAATGTGTCTTTGATGAACCTCACAGATCACTTCAGAGGTCTGTCAGCTTGACTTCAGGATATGGGATATAAGATACCTCTACTGCACACACACATGCCATATATGTTGTACACAGTGCCATAGACAGGGAAAACACCATTTCCTTGCTGGAATTTTACCAGCATTTATTTTGCTTGAAAAGGTGGAAGTTGGATTTTATTTTATGTTTTGTTTTTATATAGCTGTCAAATGCTCAACTGCATACGTTGCATCCTTAACACTATGCACACACCAAAGGATCATGACTAGCCCTTTTCTCATATTGTCCAACACCTCCTCTGAATTTTTCTTTCAGTTACCTCATAAAATGTTCCATTTCCATTTACTGTTATTTGGTTATACCTATACCAGTAAATAAAACTATGTTGGTCTTCCTATCCATTTCTGAGCAGCCCTTCTGGGAATCTGCTTTGGCAGGAGATGCATTCTGCTAGCACTAGTAGCTGCAGAATTGGCTCCATCATAGCACAAGAACAGGTATTTTCAGGGAATAAGGGTGGACAGCAACTCATCTTCAATATCTGTAACCTAAATACCTAAAATTTCAGGATGGTAACTCTTACTGGATTATTCCACATCTGCAAAAGAAGGACTGATTCATGTTTATTGCCCTTCACTGCACCTGCTATCTATGAAGTTGCCTCAATAAAAAAAGGTCTTTGTCTAACATTGGCACAGGCTTACAACTGTCATCAGTTCAGTCCATTTCACAGCATGAAGTATCTTCACAGACATTCTAGCACAAGTAACAGTTCACCTCCTAGCAAAATACAACATCTCTGTACGGATAAAGAGATTGTCAGATGAGGAGACTTGATTCCTTAAACATTACTTCTTTTTCTTTGACTCCACATGGTTAAGGATAGAGGGATACAAATTGCATCTCATGGCCAATGAATCCTTAGAAATCTCAAGGGTGATATTAGGACTCCATTATTGCTTCAGCATTTATACATCAGAAGTAATTTTAGATTATACAGGATCTCATCACATAATTGGACTCTTACCCCTCCACCACAGGGAGATCTTGACTGACATGCACCTGCATAAATTCTCATGCCATACTATACCTGTAAGAAGTATACGTTTGTCTGCAGATTGTGAGCTACTTAAGCAATCACCCTTTTATCTTTTAATTGACTACTTGAGGCTTCCAAAATTCCATGTTCCAATGGTAGAACACAACATGTACAAGGGGACACCACTTTATCCTTCACTCTGCCCAGACCAGTTGGGACAGACAAATTACTTATGTACTTCTGGCTAGCAAATGCTACCATAGTAGGGCTGCTGGACTTCAAACAAACAAAAATAAGTCAGCCTGCAGGTGATCAGGTTGTCATGTGGCATATTGAGAGCTTTTTTGTCTCAGGCATTCACAGTACCTGTAAATTATCATGGACACGACTTCTGCATACTACATCCCATTAAACAGGATTCATCTGACTTCAGAACTGCTGTATCATATTAGATTTTTTTTTTTCTGAACACATTAAATATTGTCATGGAACAGTCTGAGTTACTTTATTATGTTGGATCACTCATGACAGATCCGATATTCCCAATGTTCTTCAGTTACCCAGGAATATCATGAAATGGACTTTTTTGCCTTCAATACCATCAGGTACTCTCAGATCTTTTGTTTGCATTCCAGTTATATCCTGCTGGGGACAGTGCTCATTCAGTGGTCAGAAAGGCTGGCATACACTTTCCTTCCCCTCCTAGAAGTTAGGCACACATTCGTTTCCATGACCATGCTTAACTTAGTCAGAGTAGCGAGGGTATTAGAACTATTTTCAATGAATCCAACACTGCCCCTCCACAAAATGATCTTTAACAGCAGACCCTGTGCCGTTTTAGTAATTGCCTACAACATTTCATAGCAGGCTTGGTGGATGAGATTTGGTCAGTTAGAGTTGGCCCACTTACGCACTATGCTTACATAGTATAGAGTTAGCCCTCTGCTACAGCTTCTCCCCAATTGTGGGAACGCATATTTACTTAGCAAAATGGAACAGAGCCTCAAACTGCAGTTAGTAAGTTTGTTTCACAAACCAACCCTGGGCATCCATCCCAGTCATTTTGGAGTATTTGGTAGAACAAAATGTCTGCCCTCTTCTGTAGTCCACCTAAGGCTCAGACAGCCAACATTTATGGCATGGTACCAGGGAGAGCTTTTCAGTTGAGTTCAGTTCATAGATCACATCAGTCCCTCCTGCAGCCTGACTTATCTACAAAAGTACCCTTGTTTTTTCCCAGTCATTAACCACCAAAGTGCTGTATTGGATGTCTGCAAAGAAGCCACAGCCCATAGAAAAGCATAAATATAGATCCAGCTTCAGCTGGCATTCCTACCTACCAGGAGATAATAGGAAGAGCTGCCATGTGTTCACAGCTAACTGTCCTTAAATTCCTTCAGGTACTGGACAAGTTGTTCTCAGTAATGAGGTTCCCTCTTCCACTATAGGAATTGAATTTGGTGTTCATGATTTTTGTAGGACCACAGTTCCAGTTTGGGGTGACTTTTTTGCTGCTACACTTACCTTTAACTGTGGCTTCCATTCTGCAAGAATATCTGCCAAGGCATCAAAGCTGATTCTTCCTACAAAACATTCTTGCTAAAAAAATTGTCTTTACAAGTCCATTTCAAGTTTCCTCCTAATGTGTTTTCTGAGATTAGTTTAACCCAGAAATTAATTTACCTGTTTCCTTCCCTAAATCTCATGTATTTAGGACCACAGCATCTTGGCTGCCAGCCATCTGTAACACTGGATGTAAGGGAAAGGGAAGGAAGAGCTCCTCTGTGTTTCTTCGCTGTCCCAAAGTTTTTAATAAAGACAAATCCAAAACAGTGCTGAAAGTAAAAGCTACAAAGGCCTAGCCATATCCACACAGGGACCACGTACCTAGTAATCAGTTTAATAAAGATATATTATGAGAAATGTGCTCCATCATTAGAATGTGCTTCACTGGAACTCACTGTATCCACAGTCTTGCCAAGAAATGTCTCCATCCCTGGTGCTTGCAAAGTGAATGCCTGGAACTATATTTATGGCCAAACATTATACAGCCACAGGGGCATCCTTAAAGAATGCCATATTTACCAAAGTCTCCTGAAGTCACTGCTTGCCAAAAAAAACATATCCAGGTAACTGGATAGGAAACTTCTACTTGAAGTTTCTGCAGTGAATATTCATGTATGTAAACACTCTAAAATAGAAAAGGTATTTATCACTAACTGGAGTTTCCTGAAGCATGTTGGCCTTTTACATATTCACTTCCCTTTCTACTCCACCTCTCCCTCTCATCCCTTCTCCTTCAGTGTCCTTTGGGAAACCTTTGGCTTCAGGAGTTTGAGTAAACACTGGGACTGCTCCACTACCAAATCATATCTTGCAGGACTGAAATCTTAGATTTTAGTCATGTATACAATTACAGATGCAGATAGATACTTTTCTACTGGACCTAGTCCTTTAGCTGTTCTGGACATGTGGGGAAGCAAAACTCTAGTGTTTTGAGAACTTCCAGGAAGGTTCCTCCAAGGATAGCTTGTGGTTTGTGGGTTTGTTTTCCCTAAGTCATAATTTAGACTTGCATCTGATTTCTGCCCAAGACTATTACTGAGTTTAGTTTATCACTCATTGATCAATACATTTGAAATTAGTTCCTGTCCTCAGAGAATACTTAAATATGTACTTCAATATATGCTTATGTTTTCTGAGATGGTGATAACTGTGCAACTATATAGTACATAGGTTAACAGAAAAGAAAACACAGAATGAGCAAAAAGTAATATAAAAAAGAAGAAAGAAAAAAATTGAAAAGGTGGAGAAATTAACTAAACACAAAATATGAAAATTATAGTACAATAACACTATTTCTATTACAGAATGGAAACAGGGGAACTGAAAAAAATAGGTATAATAAAAAGAGTAAGTGAAGCAATTTTGAAAAACAGGCAACAGTGGGAATCTGAAGAATGCAAGATGTAGAAATTCCTATACTTAGCTCTAACAACTGTGCGTTTATCAGCATTTGCAGGACCAACTTAGTCTAGTCTGATAAAGTTTCAAATTTCTTTGGGTCTTTGGAAGATTTATCTCCTGGAAAAAAATTTAGAGAATCTTTTAAATGTTTCAGCCCTACAGAGAATACAGTGTGCTCCTTAAAGTACATAATAAATTTTCTGATATTTGGCATATTCCAAAAAGAACCTACTCACATCAACTCTCCTGTTCAGTATCTGTGCTGTGTATTTGTAAAATTGCAGTGTGCTGTAAAAGTTTTGTGGGCTGACTGTAAACATATGCTATTGAACAGTGTTATTCCAAAATTCTTTTCCTAGTTGGTAGCCACAACTCTTTATAAGCCATATGTTACATTCATTTTATAGCGGTTATTTGAGCATTAAAACTTGCAGTCAGGAACAGTCTCTGACATACTGTGTTTTGTTATATCTGTGTATACCTCAGTTTTAGATAATATTAAAATATTGGTAAGTTTTCTCTGTAAAAATGTTAGGATGACCCAAATAGCAGCAAGCACATTTAAAAAAATATGGACACATTTACTGCATATATAAAGACAATGATATAATTTATGTTATGGTCAACATTGTTAACTTCGAGATAGTTCTCTCATGAGGGACACATACCAGCAATCAGTCAGTTTTTAAATCTCAGCTAACACTTTTAATTAAGTTCAGAGGTTTTCTACTATTATCCACACTTCTGATTATTTCTAATAATTTTGTTGGCTGAGTGTCCTCATGACAGATATTCTCCTCACTTTTGAGAAAAGAAAAATACATTTTTATGTATTCATAAGTCTCAAGACAAGTTTACTCAGTTATACTATTGTCTTAACCACACTGCAAACATCTGGTCACTCCGATTTATGTAAGTAGTTTCTGAAGAAATGTATGTTAAACATGTTTAGAAAGACGACAAAAATGCCAATAAATTATAAAAACATAATTTAGAGAAAAAATTAATTTCTAGGTATAAATAGCTGTAGATAAACAAATTACAGTATTTAAGAACGTTATTAGTTTAGATTCTGTCACTGAAAGATTTTTACATTGGTGAAGTATAATCTTTCCAAATGTCTTCTTTTCTGCCACTAGAGGGTAGTCCAAGAACTTACAGTATATTTATAGCAAGGCTTTATTTGGTGGGTTTTGGTCTGTAAATGATCAAGTACTGTTGTCATACTAAACCTTAGGAATTTAACCCCCCAAAATCTTGATATTAAACAGCAACTTTCAAAACCAGTCTAATATACCTTTTCAGCAAAATAGTGCAGCATACCCAAATTATAAAGAACATTGACTGACATGTAGTTTAGATTTAGTTAAACTTATCCTATTTTTAAATTATCTAAATTATTATCTTTTCTTTATTTCAGACACAATTCTCTGGTTCACATCCTGTTTCTTCATCCAGATTTGGACAAGGCATTCCATTATTGGCAGGCTGAAGAAGTACAAAACGGGTTCTGATCTTGGTCCCTGTTTTTCTGCAAAGACCTCTACAGAGACCCCAGGAAGACCATTGTGAAACCTCACAGTCCAGTGGTGTTTCTGCAATATACACAATAAAAAGGTAACTTTACATAAATTTGTGCTTAAGGCAAATAGTTGGCAAAGCATTAAGGAATGATGATCAAATAGTGTCCTTTCTTATACAAAAATACATGTGATATTACTAAAATCAATACATTGTCTCATAAATAAAAAAGTCTGTTTTCAGCTCCTAAGCTCATCAACACTTGTATTACTATTATTATTATTATTATTACAGTCTAGAGACTGAGGTATTGTATCAGTAGTGCAGCATATTATCTATTAAATTGAAAATACAGAATTCCTATCAAAGAAAACTATGCTTAAAATAATTGCATTCAAATGATTGCATTAAAAAACATTTGCTGTCAATTTTATAACTCATTTGCCTTTGCATGGCTTACTAAAAACACCAGGATTAAAGCTTTTCTCTGGTTTATTTAGGTATATTCATATTTCTTTGCAGATAGATATTGTTCCTATAGTTGTTCAATTGAATTCCATTTAACTTTTGTTCCAATTTGCTTCCAAAATAAAGTCTCATTTTTTTATTATTAAATCATGTTGCTATTGTTTGGTTTGTACACTACAGTTCCCTTTGCCAACAAAGATATTCTGTCATTAGAAGCTTTTTAATACTAAAAGAGTTTTCAGTATAGTTTTAATTTGCTGCAAGAAAAGAAATCAGGAACTCTAAATTATTTTTCATAATGTATACTTCCACTGAAAATATCTCTCATAAAAATATAGGTGACTATTCCTTAGTAGGTTAAATAAAAATATTGCTTGTCACAGGAAATTGCATCAAAATTGCGTATTACAGCATCTGTGGGTAAAATACCTGTGCACAAAACCAGCTTTAAATGCTGTACTAAATGTGTGACCTCTGGTATAAATTTCTGTTATTACAGCGGAACTCACCACTTCTGTTGTGATCGCTCATTCCCATGTTTCTAGAGGGAGTGAGGGACACAGTTTGATCTCTGGTAATTAAATCTGTCCTTTTGATTCTGGAATATGTTTTTAAATAGACTGATTTACTGGTTAATATACAATAAAGTGGAGATATATCATTAAAAATGATTTTTTTAAATAACATACTTTAAATGCATTGTTTTAAATGTATATCCTAAAAAGGGCCAAATGTTCCTTTCAGATGTTGAGGGAAAGGCAGATGACTGAAATGGGATATGTAGCACTCACTTCTAATATGTCTTGTTTACCAATAGAAATACACTAAACCACTATAAATTGATAAAAACATTTATCAAAGTATAAATCATGCATTATTAGCTGTTTAATGAGCTTTATTTTAGTGACTGTGAGGTGTCTTCAGCACAGAGTTAGAGGCATGCCATCTTCAGACATTCTGGAGAAGCTCTTGGAACATGGCAGCTCTTCTAGCTCTTCATTGGGGATTTAGCTTGTTGCTGTCTCTCAAATAGTATTTAGGATGGCAGTCTTCTTATTCTTAACCTTCCTCTTTCACTTTGTAAAAAATCACTCAAAAAGTGTGAAGAGAAAATCTCAGCGGACACTGTCCAACTGCTATCTTTCCCTTAGAGCAAATATTATGTTTACGTATTTGTTAATTTGGAGATTTGAAAATTACCCTTAAGACTGACCTGAGTCAGTAGTTTGCATGTCTTCCTACCTAAACAAGGTTATTAGCTAATATTTTTAAGAAAAGAAAAATGAGAGAGAACATTATTTTTGTTGTCAGGATGTATGTTTCTATCACAAATATGTCCAAATCAATTGAATTATATCAATTCTTATTGCACATAACTATCAAGCCCTCTGACCCAGCAAGAGACAAGAATAATAGTACTTTTGTTCCATCATCATGTACAAACTTACCGATGAATATTTACTTCAAAGTTGCAAAGAATTTGGCAACTCTGATTCTGATCAAGTGTTGATAAATAATAAAATTCACTGATTTATGCTGATAGTAAGGCTTGAGTAGCCCTTACTATGGATATAACCCAAACCTTTGAACCATAGATCAAATACGCAATCCCTTCCTCATTCTTTCAGGGATTCTCTTTTATGTCAATGGGCTTGTTTGATTTCCCATGTGTGAGTCTGGAAACTATTCCTATGCAGATAGGAGAATATTCTGCCTAATCACCTATTTCATCCACATTGCCTGCCAGATTTCCACATATTTTCTGAGTGAACGGAAATAACAGAATTGAGCATATCAAAGTACTAATCACTTACCTGAGACAGAGTCTATTATTTCATTGCTTTTAGCTGGAAGATTAAAATAAGGTGCAGAAAGACCCAGCTGGTTTTTCTTTAATTTCACCATTGTTACTTGAGCAATAGGTGGCAAAATTTTGAGTTTGGGATAATAAAATGAGTTTGCTGGGTGACTTGGAGAGGAACAAGTGATCTGTGAAATAAAAAGGGGAACCTTAAAGGAACTACATCATATTAGTAAGAAGATAACTGTAAAATCATGTTTACACATCATGCTAATACTTTTTGGCAAGTAAAATGCATATAACCAGTTTCTATGAACCTCAGTCCACACAACTGCTGTTGGTAATCCCAGCATTTTTATGCATAATGCTTTAAGAATGGGCACAATGAATTGTGCCAACCTTTGGATAGAGGACTGCGGTGGGAGGTACTGAAAACACAGTAATGTATGGAGTGGTTTGATGGGAAGAAGTGGATGTTATTACAAGCAAGAATACAAGCTTATTAAATAATAGTATTAGGTATGCTATAGCAGCTGTCATATGCATATAGAAGGCCAAATGTATTGTTTTCCAGCTTCTCTGTTCCTTTTCTCATTACTCATTAGCACAGCATTTGGCTCTAGAAAAACTGACCTTAAAGAAAGGATTAACTGAATGCTTATAATATTCAAAATATTTGAATCAAAATCCTTTGTTCCCCACCACCCTTAAATGATAAAAGCAAAGTGTGAGGCATATAGAGCATCAAGCGAGAAAGAGATTTAAAGTGGGGTCACCGCAGTAGTGATGAAGTTCTCTGCTTTCCCTTAGCTCCTTTCCCTCAACTGTAACAGTTTCAAGTTTCACCAATGCTTTTAACTGAAAACTCGTCCCCACATCAGTATTCACTACGAAGAATTTTCCTGTTTAGATACACATTTAGTAATGCCAGGACTTTTGTGAACATTTTTATTTTCTTGGTGTTTTAAGAATTGTTAAAAATCATCTAAAAATACTCAGCTTTTAAAGAAAATACTTTAAATGTAGAGCCAAATTTTCATGAACCATCTGCATTTACCTCATAAATTTGAAAGATACAGAAAATAAACGAAAGCAGTAGGGTTATCCGCTATGTAATAAATTCATATAGAGAGAGCATCAGCACTCTCAAATGCTGAAATCAGTTTCACAAGAGTCTATTGTGTAGTCATTCGATAGTTATCTTTTAAAGGGAGGTCTCAAAACATATCGGTCTAAAGTGCTAAACTACGTATATACACCTACCTCTGTAACTGTGTCCTGTGGAATAGTGGCAAAGTTTGGGGAGGAAAACGTGAAACCACTATCAGTTCCAGCATCATAAGGAAATAGATCTACTGATACTTCTTCCATCCAGTGATCTCCTTCACAGAGATTTAGGCTGTCAATACCCACAAACCAGTCAGGGCTTGGAACAATTCGTACAACAAATGAAACCTAAAGAAACAAAATGATCCATCAGGATTGCATCGCTTATTTGGAAATGCTCCAGTCCTGCTTATAGTAATTTTAACTTAAAATTTTTGAAATAAATGTCATTATGCTCTTCTCCTTTATAGAACCTGTACAGTGCTCCCTGCAATGTGACATGCTTTTTAGTAACTCTTGCATTATACTGTTCCTACAAGTGAGAACTCAAATATTTAATTTTGGGTGCTAGTGACATAAAATAAACTTTTAAAATTATATATGTACATTTACTTACTAAGGGATGTCTTGAATGTGCTTCTAATTCAGTGAAGGTTTGTCCTGTACCACTGGAAATGGCAGGAGCAGAGAAGATTCCATGTACACTCTGAATTTTCTCTCCAGCTTCTTCTATTTCTTTCATTAATACCCATGCTTCACCCTTTTCAGCAAAATCACGTACACCATTGCTGGCATATTCATTTTTTTTCCACATGCTGTAGTCAGAACTATGAGTAACACCTATTTGAGTGAATACATGGCATGACATAAAAGTCTGATTCAGATTGCCCCTATTTCTTCAGTTTCTCTGTTTTATATCTGAGGTTAAAAAATATGTGTATAAAAATGAGTGAACACGAAAACATTTGGCTTATCACTGTTTATTTCAGCTGCAGCCAATTGAAAACAGAAGTCAATTGAAAACAGTTGTGGATTTTTGAAAGCATTGTGGATACTTCAATTTCTGCATCTTACTTTTAATAACTCCAGCTATTTTTTTCCTTTTTCATTAGTTATCTTAAAATTGACTATTTAGAAGAAAAAGATCACAGTGGCCAAGGCATTAATCTGTTTTTAAAACTGTACATACTTCACTTACCTAGCATTGATGACCACTGTGCTGGGGGCCTATAAAGTGGATACTGCTTAGGGAAAGCAGTCTGACTCCATTTCCCTGTGAAGATTATGCTGTACTTTGCAAGTTCCTCTGCTGTGCAAATAGAATCATCACCCACAGGCAAGCTGCTGGCATAACCTAGTATTGTTACAAGTAATGTCCAGATAACTTTACAGGAGCAGTAGACAAACATCAGGTTTTCCATTCCCTTCCACACAAAAAGAAAAAAATGTTAGCCATATTAGTCACTTTAAACTCCAAATTGAATAACAGTTACCTAATAAAATGTAACGTACCATAAGTTATAACCAAAAAGAAAGCATATATCTGAAACACTAAGAATTGTTATGCTTCTAAAAACATTATTATAATGCTTTCAGATTTGATATATACCACGCTATATACTACAAATCTGTAACGTTACCTGGGACAAGTGTTTCTAATGAAAACAAAAAAATCTTAACCTTGTCCGTAGTACTACCTCTGAGAAAAATCTGTTTCTGATTTTCTTTTGAAATCTTATTAGAGCCACATCTTGAATCAATTAGAGTAGCAACTGTTTCTGTGGAAAACATTAGTGGTATATTTATTCTTCTAAAGATTAAATTGCAGGTTACTTTGCCAAAAGAAATGATTTATTTTAAATTTGTGTTCTACAAAGGCTGGTTTATGGCATAACATTTTAAGTCAAATACATTTCATATTTATATAAATTACTTTGCTGTCATAACATGGGCACTAAAAAATACATTGTAATTGCTTCAGATTGTTTAAGCTACACAGTTGCTAAAAAATAATATTTTTTTAAAAGTTGCTGTCATAGGTTGTGTAATTTTTTAAAAAAATTAATATGGTAATTGCATCAGACTGTTGAACTCCAGCAATTGTTTAAAATAACAGCCTTAAAAACTTATTTTTAAATGCTTTTGTCCTTTGAGAAAACTATACAAACATAACTAAAACACGAATAATATATTAATTTGTAAAAAGAGCTGTGAATACTCACTAAATATTTCCTCTGGAGCACTGGTAGGGGGAGAGCACCTGCTTTTGCTGGCAGCTGAGTTGGTCTGCAAGAGAAGACAGTAGGAGTCTTGCTATTTATGCCTGAAGAGGGTCCCTTTGGTCCAAGAATTATTGTAATCTTTAGACTTTCCAGGTTTGCAAAAAGCATGCCATCTTCTTGTTTGCAATCTTTTTGGATGAACTATCAGAGGTTTCCTGTCTGTCAACTGGTTCAGGTTCCTATCAGAAAACTGTGATGCCGAATAGACGAAATGCTTTAAAAAAACCCCTTGGATTCTTAGTAACAGTTCGAGTTTTCTGGTGCCTTTACAGTTCTCTGCTCTTATTAATGCCTCCAAGCTATACAAATGAACTGATTCCAACACTGAAATAGTTCTAGTGAATACACTTTAAATGAGAAGCATGTTTTCTTGTAAGTTTTATTGTCTGACAGATGCTCCTTCCAAACATTTACAGAGAGCTTGCTCACTCTCACACACCATATGTATGTGTTCAAATAAAAGGGGTGAGGCAGCTAAAAAAGTCAAGAGGCAAAAAAGTTACATTTCATAATTGCACACACTCACACAGACTGTGTCTCCTGCAAATATGAATTAATTTAAAGTAGTACAGTGTATATTTTTGTGTTCTACAGTACCGTATGCTGGATGATGAAAGGGCTCTGTAACATTGTGGTTTCTTTGGAAAGAGTGGTTTTGGGAAGCTCTGAGATTTTTCTTTGCTGTCTTCAGAGTAAAAACCCCAAATAAAAATCTTACTACAGTTAAATCATACATCCTCTGTAGCACAGTACATATACTTACATCAAAAAAATTATTTAAATTGTCTATGAAAAATTATGCATAATACAGTGACCTAACTAAAAAATAATGTTTAATATTGATTTTAAATTATTTTCTCCCCCACCTTTCAAATAAGGGAAAACAAGGGCTTTGTGCCATGCCTGTAAGTTTAACAAATGCTGTTGTGGCTGATCAGCAACTGAACCATGAAGGAAGTCTTTCATAGAGTCTTCTTTTGCAATTGTGAGGAATGTCACTTAAGTACTTCCACAGATCTCTAATATGATGGTACAGCATATGGAAAAAACCCCGCAGTTATTTTTCAGATGAAACTCCCAGGCCATCATATATAGCTATATGGTAGGTATATAGCTAAAGTGACATGCTATTGTCCACGGTGAGGTGGTTACCAAACAATCAGTCTGAGCTTTGTGGCACTCAAACTGGAAACTTACCCTTCCCTTCTGCCCTCCACTCCATGGTAAATCAACAAGAAAAGCCAAGAGATGAATAAACTGGGATGTCTGAATGGAATTTCCATTGATTATTCTCCTGGTAAAATGGAATCTGTTGCAAGTTTCAACATAGATGGATTCAGCACCTATAACCACGATTCCTGTATATGTGGATAGATTATGGGAATTCTGTAGCAGGTTAAGCCATCTAGACATGGACATGCCCTTTGTTTCCAAGGCCCCCTCCTCCTATGTTAATGCAATGTTTTCCATAATTTATTTCTGTTCCAGGAGCCAGACTCCACTAAGAAAAAGGGCAAAGAGACTTCATGGATACTTTTATACCAGTTCTTTGAGTCTTTGTTGAAGGATGATATTTGAATTACATCCAGCTCACTCCCTCCTATGCACAGAATTCCAGATTCACAGGTTCCTTAGAGAATTGAGTCTACCTACATCAGAAGTGGGTGATCCTTCCAGCCCATGCAGCCCTCTAGAAGAACTATACAAAGGTCCTACAAGTTTTAAAGTATATTGCTCAGAGCACTTTTAAAATTACTTAAGGCTTACTTATTTATTACTAAGTAGCTTTAAGCTTCAGTAGGCTTTGTTGTTTATCATTACAATTACCGAACCAGCTAACTTCACATATTGAAACATACTGTGACACTTCCAGGACAATACTTAAAATGAGAACAAAGAAATTAGCTCTGAATCCAGCACAGAATTATTTAATATATTAGACTAGCCTTTTCCTTTCGAAGAAAAATTACTGCCAAAAGGCACATCACCAGACTAGATCATTCCGGTTCCATGACTACATGTTATGAATGTATCCAGGAACAGGACAATACATGCAGGCTGCATAATTTGGCACAGCTATTATAAGAAAAACTTACTAAATGATAAAAGAACTGAATCATTGGAAGTCATTAACTTGGGAAGTCATTTGAGGTTTCTAAGTACAGAGTAGACAAAAAAATATCAAAAATCACAAAAGTTATAGTTGATTCTTCCCTGGAATAGGAGTACGTGATGCTTTGTACTGAGCATCCAAGAGGCTTTCCAGTTCTACAATTCTGTGTAATCAGTTTATCCTTCTTCTAGAGCTCCATTGCTCAAATTTCTTGAGGTTATCTTCCTCTTCAACAGCAGATATGCAATTAATGGAATACAACTGAGTCTAGATATTTTATTTTCCTACGTTACCAGTGTGGGAATGTGACATTTTGAAGCATTTTAGTTTGAAAACCGAAGAGGGATTCTTTCCTTAAAGACTGCAAACACTTACAGGGAAACTGGATTATACTCCTTATTCTTGTTCTCTGATTCTGGTCCAAAATGGAGGTTTTCTTCCTTACCATTCCTACATTGGACCTTTCCCTGTTTACAATGAGGGCTCTGCTGTGACAGATTTCTCAGGATTAAAATCATCAGGACCTACAGACTCGTTCTGGTCATTGTTGGATTCATAATGAAATTGTTGGGCAAAATACAGTGACTGTAAATTTATTTAATTATCTTCTCTCCTGCCCCTGCCTCGCCACCCCATGGCTGAAGTAGGGGGAAAACAAAGAAAAACATAGACCCAACCTGAGGACTCCCAGTCTTATTTCTTTAAATAGAAACTGTGCTAAGCATAATCAGTCTCTGACATTGTGAAGGACATCAAAACACCAAATGTATCTCATAGATGGGAAGAAAAAAAAACAGAAAAAAAAAAAACAAAAAACAACCCAGATTTCCACTCAATGGATTACTTTCATGGCTGGGAAGCCACAGATGCCAAATTTCTGTGGGCCAGCAGTTGGAGAAAAAAATTGCTGTGGGATCAGAACCTATGCTTGCATTCCTTCTTCAGTTTGTATGTCCCATTAGAAAGCAGCTGAAAACTCATGGAAAACTGGAAAAAAACCCTTCCATTTAGAAACAATTTTGCCTGTATATAGAATTGGACTTTCTTCTTTCTCTTTTGCAGCAAAATACATTTTATTTTTCAAGTTTGTGTTTCTTCAGGTACACCTATTTTCTGTCCACTTGCATGTCTCTATAGACCCCGAATGCTAGAGGGAGTAGACATACAAAGCTTGTTTTACTTGAGCATCAGTGCCAAATTGTGCCTTGTGTTTAATTTTGCTTGCACAAGTGTGCAACTTCTCCTGTTTCTTGTCAATAAGACAACAGTCTTACAGTTCCTGCTGCTTTACCAAGATTCACAGGACGAAAGCTGGAAAGTATAAAGCAAAAATGGTGTCTAGATATTTTTGGTTTCTAAATAACAGTCATAACTGTGTCTAAAATATTCTGTATTTTTGCTAACCAAAAATAGTTAATAAAACAAGGAAAAAATCCCTACTTAAAAATATAGCAGTGTAGTAAATATCATGTTGATTCTTGAATCATTTACATCATATGAAAACATTTATATGAACACGTTTAGGCTATCACACAGAAATATAGGACATTAAAGGGTATAAATTCCATTTTGATTAGTCAGAGAATAGTTTAGCCCTTTTTCTACTAAGCAACAAGATTTGCATGATTAGTTATATCTTTTCTATTAAACTGTAAGATTAAGAGAAAGGTGGTTTAACTAAAATGATTGATCTGAAGTTAGTTTGCCCACCTTTATTCAAAACAGAAGCTCCAGAAATTTTGTATTTATATTCCTGAAGTGTTACCACACATTACAATTTTACTAAAACAATTTCCATTTTGCTGTTAAGGAGCGTATGTGCAACTTTGATATTCACAGGCTGTTTAATGTGCTTATGACTAGCTAGCATTTCTTTGTCTAACAAGAAAAACATAATATTGTATTACTTAAGAAGGATTATACAGCCATACTTTCTTTCCTGTAGTTACCATGGATACACATACGATTATGGACACTCAGCAATGCCAAAAGGTTTACATTCAGTCAAAACCCTCTGAGCTCTAAGTTGTAAAATCTCGATACCAGAGTGGCAAGCAGCAGAATATTTTATCATGGAGAAACTCTGGTGTTGGTTTGAAAGCTTTTATAAAATAAAGCATTTACATAGGAGAATAAAGGATTCCCAATATTAGATGGTACAACAGTAGTGAAGGCAGCTTTAATCTCTGTTTATCTTTCGGAATAAAAATTTAGTTTGCAGATTAAGGTACCTAAAATGAGTGTGTACATATGAACTAGATATGTAAACTGCCACTATAAACAATAGAGGTCTACTTCTTATAGTTGATAGAATCTAGAGAACCATTCAGCTCGCCCTTTCATCCATACCTTATTTGACCGGATGAATAACTGATGAATAGCTCTCTGGTCTCCATTAACTGTATTGATAAGCTCTCCATTGATCAGACACCTAGCTCTCTGTAAGCATCTACACATAAGTAATTGATTCAGGCATCTATATCTTTTGCTGAATCCGAAGGCAAGTGGACTTCATTAGATGTTCTCGCTGATGACTATAATCAAGGTTCAACCTGCTAGTAGGGAATTGCAAATTCACTCTGTATTTTGAGTTTAGAAATTCCCTTTGTAAGGGTGTTGGATTTGGGCTTGGGGGGGGGGGGGGGGATTCTTTGTTGTTTTTTCTTTTTTTAATTCAGGGCTTACTGAGAATTCAAGCCAAGATAAGGAAAAGGATAAGAAAAAATCCCAGTTTTATTGACCGCAATGACACCTATGAGCAACAAAAAGCTCTTCTGCCATCTTCTGCATTCTTCTGTCATCTGTATTTAAGTCACTTCTAGTACTGAAAAACCTAATATATAGGCCAGCACTAGATAACCAATTCAAGGTCCCCTGTGACAGTGACCAGAGACTATGCTTCTCTTTGGGCTTCTTCCCCTGCCCACA